GCAAATTTAAACGTAAGAAAAAAAATGCGTGAATCAGCCAAATATCCACTTAGTGTTTGCATAATGCACATTTCCATTGGGTTGCTAAATTCCCATCAAAGAGATATCATCTGTAGGTGTTGCACCCGATGAGTCACGCTGGCTGCAATCATTTCAAAAGGCTGATGACGGAAAACAAAACTGAGAGTCAAAATTTCAAAAGTAACACCTAATACCCGTTGTGAGTCTCCTCAACTGACAGTGTGTAAGTGTAAAATAGTCTTCAGCTGCTTAAAGCTTGATTAGCCTGGAAGATGGAGAAACGGGTGCTGCGTGTGTTAACGTAAAGAAACATGTGCACTGCTTCCTGCACTCATAAGTTTCTCTTACGAAGCTTAAATTCAAAATGCACCTCATCCAGGGTCATGCATGCAGCTGTATTGCTACTCAACGTTTAAATGATATACTTTACTGTCACAAAGTCATCACAAACTCGACCTTTTTAGTCTTGCTATATATGAATACATGCTCACAGATATTATTACAACCCCGTGACCACACTTTCACCCTACAGTATCATTTTTCAGTTGTTACAACCGCAAAAACACACCGACACCCTGATGCTAACGCCAGTCAGTTGCTACAGTCATTTGTAAAGCCCCACTGACATATGACAGCACGTTAAGATACAGTAAGCTGGTATTCATCACTTCCTCTGCTTTAATTCAGGCCTATTGCGCAATGTCTTCATCTCTTCTGACACTGCCATCCCATTTTTTTTTTTATTTTTTTGGCTTGAGTCCTCTAAATTGCGTCCAGTTTCTGCTCACACAGAAACTATCACCTGTAAGTGAGAAACCGCAGCATCCCTCTCGTGTCTGAAAACAGTACCGGCCCTGTAATAACGCAGTTGTCCGTAGTTCTCCTTTTTCTGCCGCACTTCTCAGATATTTTCTCTCTTTCTGTTGGCCTTTTTTTTAAAATCTGAAGTGTTCCAGTAACAATGAGGGGGAATTAAAGCGGCTCAACTATCGGGAAAAGTTTAGCACAATAAGTAAAAGCTGCCACTTCATAATGGCTCTAAATCACACTGCACTGATTGCTCGCATTTGTGTGGATACTAAAGCAGTTAGATTGTCAGAGCTAATTCTATAATTAAATGTCCAGAGCCACTGAGCTGCCTGTTGTGTGCAGCTGGATTCAGTAAGACTGGATCTTAGTGAAGACGGTAAAAGTTGATTGAAAAATCAAGACAGACAGAAGATTTTAAAAGTTAAAAATCATTAGATATGGAGGTAAAATTCTAAAACAAATGCTTACACGTCAAAAAGAAAGAAGGTTTTTCTTTATGTTTGGGTAAAGATTAACCATTAGGGGAATATATTTTGGGAAATACTCTTATTTATCTTCTTCCTAAGAACTACGTGTGCACACTGACACCATTCATATCTGTTAAGCATTACTCTGAGCTTCACTGGGGGGTGGGAAACAGACAGAAAAATGAAACTTATGTCTGCCAGCACCTCTGAATCACAAAGTACAGAGACAAACATTTCATCATGAAAAAGTCTGATTTCTTTCTTCTGTAGTTTAAATGAAGGCTGGAAGTTTCAAGCTGGTCCAAATCTGGTTGAAATTTAATGAATGTTAAACAACATCTGGGGGGCTGAGATGTGTCTGTTGTGTCTTGTTGGCAGA